CCCTCCCTCCCCGCTCTCCCCTCCCTCATGAATCCTTGATAATTTATAAATTATTATTTTGTCCTGTCTTGTCCTGTCCGATGTCTCCCTTCACCCACTTTTCTGTTGTCCGTCCTCCAGGGAGGAGGTCACATGTAGATCCTTATAATCAGTTCCCTCTTCCCAACCCACCCTCCCTCCACCCTCCCAGTATCGCCACTCACACCACTGGTCTCGTTTAAGTATTTTCCATCTCTTCTCTCTGTACATCAGCCCAGATAACCTGGTTATTTTCTACTGATTCTTTACCTATTTATAAATACACTCTTTTTTTGTGTTTCCATGTTAAGAACTTTTTTTTTTTAAGCTCTGGGGTATTTTGGTTGTTTGTTTTTAATTGACTTTCATTTTCTGGTGAAAATTTTCATCTTCATCTCTTTTCTTTTTCATACTCATCGTACTTAAAACTTTAGTTAGTAACTAATATCTGGTGTCCCTGAGTTTCTCTCTGTTGTATGAGTGTTGTCTCGGCCCTGCTCCTTGCAGGCCTGCCAAAGTTTCATTGGCATGTAGATCTTACATAGAGGAAACAGTCCAGGCTCTGGGTCATGGGTGCCAGTCCCCGTCATCTTCGTAGAGGCTGGGCTACATCTCCTGTGCATTGAGAGACCCCTTTCATGGAGCGGGTAGCCCTGCTCTGGTCCCACTGAGAACCAGGGTTGTTCCTCGGATCCCTCTGCTTGGGGAGACTCAATGCTCCGGTTTTTCCCCTCGGCCGTGAGTGTGCTCTCTATTGTGTATCTTAATGACTAAAATTCCTTGTTTCTTGCTTCTCACGACTTACAAATTTGGCAAATATCTTTAGTTGGGGCAACCCTTGAGTATCAGGCTTTGTTCCTTGCCTTGCCTTTCTCTCTAGCACTGCGCCCGCGCACTTTTTGACCGCCTCGTGTCCCTAAGCCCCTGTCCATCTTGCCTGCCTTGGAGATTACCAGAGGCTCTGCCAGCAGCGCCCATTCAGCATTCTAGCTCCTCCCGTGGCTCTCAAGCCTGGACATGCTTCGGTGGGGTCCAGCGAACACTATGGCTCTGTGATTTCCTTCTCTCCAGAGTCTTAGCTTTTTGTATCGTTATAATTGTGCTCAAATTACGTTGCATATCTTCTTATTATGCCTGAGAGCAAAAGTCCCTACGTAGTCTTTTTCAAAACCTCAGATGACACTGTGTGCAGTGAGAGCTTTGCATTTTTGCTTTAATTTGTTCTTCCAATGGCTGTATGGTCTCCCTGTGCATGTCTCCCCCACCCCCACCGGGATTCTCCTACTACATGAGTTTCATATCCTCATACCCCAGAGGACACTGCGTGTCCTTGTCCCATTAGGAACCTTTGCACAAGTATCTCTGGAGCTCTTGCAGCGGTCTGGTGTACCCTTTATAAGACATTTGTTGCGGTGTAGACTGAGGCTTGTTACTCCTGAGATCGAGCCTGCGAGCTTGGATAAGCCACTTTCCTTCTCTGGCCTCTAACTCATTGGGTTGCAGCTGTGATTGGTAAAATGCTCTTGAGCTTTATGATCCTGTAACTATGAGGACTCCTAATGATGCAGGTTATTCACGGAAGAAAATCAATCTTCTAATTTGATCTTAGCCAAAAGGCTGAGAAGCAGTAAAACAGAATCTTCTAAATTACTACCTCGCAGCATGGAATGTTTAGTAGCCATAGAGAGGAAATCAGACTGAATATTCTATGTATCCGGGCAGTTGGTGTTCAGGAGCAAAGGGACGTAACTAGGGACTCACACATACATGCTCCAGAGAGAGAACACGGAGCCCCTGAGCGGCCGCAGCTTGACAGAATAGACTGGTGTGTACAATAGATGATTGTGGTGTTCTGTAATGTTTGAAGAGAACACACCTTCATCGTATCGCTGGTGTTTATGAGTATGTAACTATCAACACAAGAAGGATATACTTTGCTCATTACAGCTGGTACATCAGCGAGGGCCGTCAAAGAAGACTTTATCTGTGATGGTATGCACCTCTCTTCTTAGAGGAAGTTCCTTACCAGGAAACTCCTCAGGGCCTTTGCTCAGAATGCATGGGGATTCTTTCCCAAATTTATTTGACCATTGTTTAAAAGCAGGTCAGCTGTGATGCTGGTGCATATATATTGGGGGTTTGTGGTGGGGAAGGGCTCGAGGATACACCGGGCAAAAGGTTCATGGGGAAATGGAATGAAAAGATCATGGGATTTCATGCGTCGTAAGGGGCAGTTGTGTAATTGAAGGGTGAATGAAAGAACCATCAGGCAAGGCATGCAAGGGCTCACCTCTTCCATGAAGCCTGGAAGAGAGAGCAAGCTAATGTATTAGCCAACATGCTGCTACTGTCTTGGGCTAGCAAGGCCCAGTGAGCACATACGTAACAGGAAGGGGATGTGCTGGGAAGTACTATGTGACAGGAAGGCACATACTTAACAAGATGGGCCAGTTCAATTTCTAGAGTAAAGATGGCTGCTTAACCTTTGCCTTCCCTGAGCTGGCTTGACCTTAGGTGTCCCTGCGCTGTTCTCCAGGGGGTGCAATCTGTGATCAGTATCAGAAGGGAGTGGGTCGTACTTAGGGTGGGACGGACAATAGGGTCTGACTGCTCTAGATGGCAGACGACCTTCAGACAGATAACCTTTCAAGTATACAGTCAGCAACCCTGAGCTCGTAAGAAGCATCTTCAGATTGACATTCTTATGGGGGGACATTGTGGCTGACTTTTGGTCAGGAGAATGGGACTGGGCTGCATCTCCCGCTCATGAGCCTGAAGGCCTCCCTTCACCAGAGTCTGCCTCCCAGACGCTTCATCATGAGCACAGAGACTTTGTCTGCATACACTCTCTTCCCAGTTCTGTTCCCAAACCCCATGGGAATTTTCTTTGAATCCCTCTTGTAGAATCTGACCTGCACCTAGTGCCATGTCATCCTTTTCCTTACAGCCTCATACCTTCTTGTCCCTCTTGTTCTGGTCACACCTTGCTGATATTGGCCTGCCTCACAAGCAGTTCTGTACATTCACCCTCTTCTTGCACCGTGCCCCTCACCTGCTGCAGCTACACCCACACCAGTTTCCCCTCCACCCCTCCCTCTTTCCCTGAATTTCCTTGTTGCCTAGAATTGCAGCATTTCTGAGATGCCAGACCAGTGGCTTGTACCAGGTATAGGGGAAGAAGGTATTGGCTTGCTGTTTGGAAGCACAACATCTGCTTGCAAAGACTCCTATAATCATTGGTGGGAGGTAATATTTTTACTGAAAGTATCATTGGGGAGGTTGGTGTGGCTGCCTTAACTGGGTTGAACATGATAGGAAGCTTATTTCTCTCCCACATAAGACTCATCGCTGCTGCTCTGGGGAGGAACTCCGTCCAGGGAGCCCCTCAAGAGTTTATTCTAATTCTGCCCGTGACTTTGCTTTTCTGCATGTAGAAGCTCACAGCTCTCTCAGTCTTGTCTGTTCCTGTCAAGGGTAGGGCATGAGGGATTCGTATCCCTACCTCTGCTCAGGCCCCACAGGCCACCTGTGTTGCATGGTGATGAAATAGTATGGGAGACACATCTGATCTCCACACCAGCCCTAGGCTGGTTGCCACAGGCAGAGGTTAGACATGCCTCCATCCTCCATCCTTTTTACCCATTTCTGACACCCAACTCCCATGACGCTATATTTTTCTACTGGATTTAATAATCTCTGATGGGATTTATTAGGGATGTTAATAAGCCAGGATTAGAAAATATTCAGGATACAGTCTTTGATCCACCATAGCACCCTTTCTCAGCCAAGTCTCTCTGGTGCCCAGCCTCTCAGTTGCGTTGCCCTTTGGCTTCTGCCTGTGCTATGGGCCCGAAAGCCTGCCTGCCATTGCAACTCAGTGCATCATCGTCGCAGTGGGGGCTCCTCTGCTGCCTCGTGGTCTCAATGCTGCAGCCTCTGCCTTCTCTAGCACTTCAAACAGAACCTCACACGCTCTGCTGTTAGCTGTTCTTTCTTGATGGCTCTGGATTCTCTCCTCCTACTTCTGAGATGGCTCGTTCTTATACCCACTAATCCCCTCTAATCGTGTTACATGCACCCGATTTGCATGGTCCCCTCCAATCATTTGTTTGAAGTTACAAAGCAAGTTTATTGAGACACCTCAAGGAGGATTTGAGCAGAAGGCAGTGCTGCATGATGAGCTGAGGCTGGTCATACCAATCGTCAGTCAGGAAGAGAGGCCACACTCAATGTTAGTGTGAATTGGGAGTTGGCTCTAGGGTGACCAGCTGGCCCTATTTGCCTGGGACATGGGACCTTTGGGCTGAAACTGAAAAAAGTCCCAAACAAAGTGAGATGAGTCAGTCAACCTATCCGGCTTAGTTTATAGCATGAAGGTGGTGGGTTTTCCACAAAGGTGGGCGTGGTTGAGCAAGGTTAGGGAACGGTGGCTGCCCAGCCATTGTCCTGCTTGCTGCATCTGGCCAAAGCCCTGGTGACATTGTGCCCCTCCCTCTCCAGATCCCATCAGCCTGGCATACCAGCGGGTGCAGAAAGTGGACTGCACTGCTCTGCGGCCGGTGCTGATTCTGGGGCCCTTGCTGGATGTGGTAAAGGAGATGCTGATGAATGAAGCCCCCGGCAAGTTCTGCAGATGCCCTCTTGGTGAGGAGCTCCCCTCTACCTGTCTGACGTTGTCGCTCAGTGTCTGTGTCCACACTGGCCCAGCCCAACGGCAGGTCACACAGGGTTTCTCTGTAGACATGCTACTCCCCAGGGTCTCCAAGACTGTGAATCTCTGTGGGTGCAGACAGCTCTGCTCTTCTCCCGTCGAGCTGCTGATGGGTTTGAATTGCCCACCTTGAGGTTATGAGGTTTGTGCTTAACCTTACATGTCACCATAGCCCCTCAACAGGGCAAGGTGTGGCCCCAAGCCCCTACTCCTGAGCAGAAATGGTAGCCTGCATTCCTAAAGGCTGCTGGCTAGACCCTCCTTCACCTTCAGGAGGGCCAGGCTGTGCTGTGTTGGCTAGGCACGGGCCGGAGCTTGGTGTCCTGACTTTGACTGTGGATTTTTGCCTTGCAGAGGTGATGAAGGCCTCCCAGCAAGCCATTGAACGAGGCGTCAAAGACTGCCTCTTCGTTGACTATAAGCGGCGGAGCGGCCACTTCGATGTGACCACAGTAGCTTCCATAAAGGAGATCACAGAAAAGGTACCAGTGTTTATGGTCAGGGCTGCAGGCATTTGTTTACTTAAAGCCTTAGGCTGAGTTTCCTTGGTATCTGTCTGGCCCTTATGCCCCTGTTCTCCCCTGCATTTCTCAGTCCTCACTGAGCTACTTTCTTCCTGAGTGCCACTATCCCCCCCACCCACCCACCCACACGTATTGCCCTCATTTGCTGTGTGAGCTGAAGTGCTTGCTTCTCTGTGCTTCTGCTTCCATAGCTTTTCAGTGGACTTGTTGGGCAGGAAGAAGCCCTGTGCACTTGCCCCTGACCTCCTCTAAGGGCTCTGAACTCCTAGAGTGAGGCAGGGGAGCCTGTCCCCGGGAGTGCTAAACCAGAGGCCCAAGTATGTCTGTTGGACCCATGGAGAGCGTTCACAGTGTTTCTGTTTGTAGCTTTATTCTGCAGAGAGGGACGTAGCCTCCATCGGGTCCTCCTGGGGGTCCATCCCCCTAAAAAAGTGAGAGACAGTTGCTGTGTCTCTCTCCGGAATGCTGACTGTTTGCAACAGGAAGCCGAGGGTGGGCTACAGTGTGTCCCGCTGGGCCTTAGCCTCCTCGGGTCGGCTCCTTTTGCTGAGCTGTGGCTCCCTCCTGGGGTGCATTGCCCGAGTGGCTTCTTACAGCTTCAGGCATATGTTGCCAGTTGAGTTGGCAGACCTCCAGGCAGCAGTGGCCCAGGAAGGTAGAAAGTTTGCCATTGATTGGGCCTCCGTGGGTCCTCTTTTGGTATTTGGGTGTCCATAGGACAGAGGGTACCTCTGGACATTCGCTTGCTCACTCTATGGCTGGAGGCTCAAGGGACCCAACTCATATTTTAGTCACGGCTTTGCAAAGACATACTACTTTCCCTGACTGCAGCCCCTCCTCCGTTCTCTTGACAGATTGTTCAGTCTAAGGAACGAACATAAGGAAGGTCTTGATAGCTGGGTGAGGGCAGGACAGGGAAGTTTACCCTGTGCAGTCTGGGCTCTCAGCCCGGACTCCTTTACAGCGCAGCCCACGGGAAGATGTGTCCCCATAGCTTCTCATGTGTGGCCTTCGGGAAAGTGCAGTTGTGCTTTCTGTGCTTTCTGTGCTTTCTCTGACGGCCCGAAGGGATATCTTTCCTCGGGTAGAAGCTAGGTCGGGGTGTCCTCGGAAAAGCCCTAGCCCACATGCTCACCCCTTGCTCCCCGTCCTCCCATGTTTACTGGCCTCTCATCTCTCTCAGAACCGGCACTGCCTCCTGGACATCGCACCCCATGCCATCGAGAGGCTCCATAGCATGCACATCTACCCCATCGTCATCTTCATCCACTACAAGAGCGCCAAGCAGATCAAGTAGGTGGCCGACTCCAGCACTCTTCGGGGGCCTTGGAAGATGGCCCCAAGCAGCAGAGTTGTGTGTGTTGGGATAGAAGAATGAAGCACATACCTGTTAGACTGGGAATAGGCAGCCTCTGTAGGACAAGACCTCCGCTCCTCAGCCCCCTGACTGTCTGGATGCTGCTAAGCTGCTACAGGTCCAGCTTGTTTGCACAGATGCCCTCCGGCTCCCCTTCTCTCGCCTCTTAGTTTGGTCCATGGAAGGACCCAGAGAACTCGAGGCCTAGGCTAGGTCAGCTTACCCACGAGCGAGCTTTCCCTCAGTACCCTCTAGGCTCTCTTGCGTCTCACCTTCCTGTTCTGCTAACTTCCCGCCTTGCAGCGAGGCCACGGGGTGTGTCTGGTCTGTTTGTGTGCACTGGCCACCCATCGACTCCCTCCTGCTCAGCTCTCTTGTTGGAGCCCAAAGCAGCTGTGCTTTTCGAGGGATGCACACAGAAGCTCTCCACCCCACCACACCACCCCGCCCGCGCCCCCCCACTACACCCACACCCACACATAGAATACCCTCATCTGTAGGGTGACAAGGGGCAGGATAAGGAGGGTGTAGGAGAGGTAGAGACAAGAGGTTCAACCTGGCTTCCTGATTATGCCAACAGGGAGCAGAGGGATCCCATCTACCTTCGGGACAAGGTAACCCAGAGGCATTCCAAAGAGCAGTTTGAAACGGCTCAGAAGATTGAACAGGAGTACAGCAGGTACTTCACAGGTAAGTGAGCAGTGGGCGATGGGAGAAGCAGCAAGCAGGATGCAGAGGCTTTACACAGAAGTCTGTCTTAGAAACTGATTGGTGGTTTTAACTGGGTGCTTGACAAATGTTGGGTTTTTTTTCCTTTTTTTTACTGGTTGACTGTTAATATTGTTATTGTTGTTAGTTAGGGGGGCTTTACAGTTCATATTATCAATTGTTCTCAATAATTTAAGCTACCTCTCAAATCCCTCATTAGCTTATCCTGCATGCCCACCCATCCCACTCTTCTGCTTTGATTTCTCTTCTCCACTTTGTGGATTATTCTCTTCCCCTTCATTCAAGTTAATACCTGCCAGCCCTCGGGCCCATTACTTTATCTTCCCTCTTTTGCCCTCCCCTCCTCAGTAATCTCCAAATTTGTTCCTTTGGTCTGAAAGTCTGTTTCATTTGTTTGTTTGAAACAGTAGTGCGTGTAGGCACTTCCATTGCACATGAGATGTTCTCGTTCACTGGTCCGCACCAAGAACTGTAGAATTGTAAAGGTAGCTGGTTTTAGCATCCAGCTCTGACCTAGGATTTTACGGTTGGACTCGTACCTGTCTCACAGCACAGTTCCTGTGTCGCATGGCGTCAGTGCCCGAATTTAAGTCGGGAACCCTGTGAGCTGGAAGCATGAGTGCCTGTGGCCACACTGTTCTCAGGGAAGGCTGGTATCCCCAAGGGGTATTGTGAAGAAGATCCAGACCTAACCATCCCTGACCTTTGGAGTAAAACAAGCCTGGCTCTCATTTCCCTGTTGCCGTTTTCCTTTCTGGTTTTCGACCTCTTCCAAGAAACCAATGGAGTCCTGATGGGACAGTAGTGGTCAAGCACGTGGCTGCTAATTCAAAGGTGGGCTGCTTGACCCTAACCACCTCTCTGGGAGAAGATGGAACAGTCTGCTTCAGTAAAGATCACACCTTAGAAACCCCGGAGGGCAGCTCCACCCTGAACTCTAGGGACCTTCTGAATCAAAGTGGCATTAATGGCCATGGGTTTTCCATAACATAGTCATTTGTCAGAGGTCGTATTGCCAGAGAGAAGTGTCAGCAATTTTCATTGGAGAGTGTTGATATCTCAGCGCTTCCCATTCTTCCCTGGACAAGGGCCAGCAGTGTGTCTGTGTGTGTTCATTTCTGATCCAGCACAGACGAGTACTTTTGTCAAACACATAAAAAAATCAATTCCTAGAGAAGTAAAATTGTAAAACCCAAAGGTTCATGAAATGCAAGTCCAGATACTTTTTCTTAGCTCCAAACACATGCAACAATACTCTGCTAAGTCTCTACAGCCATACTTCTAGTTTCCTAAACTCATTTCTTGTAGAATCCTTTTGCTGATTGGATAGTCAAATTATCCTACCCGCTAATGACTTCTAATGTGCTAGAATTCCCTTACTGTGAGACCAGGACAGGGTTTTAGGAGGATGAAGGTAGGGGGTAGACATGAGTCCAGTTGTGGTCCTCACGTTACAGTGATGAGGAGAAATTTGGCCCTGATCCTCATTGGAGTCTTATTTTCAGCATTCTTAATAGTTGGCTAAAGGGGTAGAGAAGAAGGGGGTACTTCATGTTTTCTCCCTCAACTTCTTGCCAATGGAGGAGTATGGGATGGAGGGCGTCAGGAGGGCCCGATGTATCCAAATCTGGATCTCACTCTGTACTAAGTGACTTGTGTGTTTGGGGTTCTTCCCCAGGGGTCGTCCAGGGAGGATCCCTGCCCAACATCTGCACTCAGATCCTGGCCAAGGTCACTCAAGAACAGAACAAAGTCCTCTGGATCCCGGCCGGCCCATTATAGAAGAGCGTCCAGCTGCGGAGGACTGGCGTGATCCCACCCACGTGAGGCTATGGCCCCATTTGGTTCACTGACTCAAAATGAAGACACGTCTGTCCATACACAGAGAGAGGAAAGACCCAGCAAGTACGGACTCCAGAAGTCCCCTCTGGCCAAGGAGGCTCCAGGCCAGGGCCAGCAAACTGCATTCCTCTCATCTGTGCTCTAAGATCCAACCCAACCAAACCGCAGAGGACTGTCCATTGAGGCCTTTAACACCAGCCTTTCTTTAGCCAGCCACCCAGAGATGCTGTAAAGAGAACCTTTCTAATCACAAGTTTACATGCCTTTAAAAAAAGTATTTGGTTGTTTATGTTTACTTGAACAACTTCCGGTTGTCCGTGCCCAGCCCCTGCCTCCTCTGCTCACCCTGTCTGTCACTTTGGCATTGCTTTTGTTCTTTTCAGTTCAACCACTCTGAAACCTCCTGGTGGGGGCTGCTTTGCTTTGAGGGACCACAGCTGTGATTGGGCAGCACCCTCCCGGAAGGATGACGTCATGACTACAGACACTGGGTCTGTGCCTTGGTGGGGTTGACTCAGCCATGTTCTTCCCTGTGTGGGAGGGAAGACAGCTTTGTCTGCCATACACATTTGTCTGTCGAGCGCTCTCCTGTCTCCCATGTCAGCCCCTTTTCTCTCCATAGGCACTTATTATGTAAGTGCTGCGTCTTGTCCCCCAAGGACAACAGAGTTAGGCTCCAGGTAGCCCCCGCCACAGTGTCTTTACAGGTTCTGTAAATCGTGACAGCCGTTGCCAGTGCCATTTGGCGGGGTAGTTCATAATCTTTACACTTGAAAAGCGTGTCCAGAACATCACTGTTTTTAATAAACCATTCGTGTTTCCGACTGCGTTGGGAGCCCGAGGGCGGCGTCCTGGTGTGGGTTGCCTCTGTCAAAAGTAAGTAAAATGGAACTAAAAGCAGGGCTTCCTGTGGTCTGGGTTGCCGCTCTTGTAGCATGACACACACTCTGTGAGGATGTCTGCGTTTGGGGTCTCCAGATGTGGGGGGGTGGGGTGGGGGTGGCGGGGGGCTGCTACTGAAGAGTCACTGGGGCCTCTCCAACTGTCCTATTCTGCGGTACTGGTCTAGAACCTGCGTTACTGTCGTCGGATCCGTGTTTTAATGCTGTTCCTAACATTTCATTTCCCCAGCAGGACAAGGCTGAGTTCATTGTTCTCCTTTGCAATTCTAGGCAGTAGATTGTAGTGTAGCCATGACTGACTTTTTTTTTAAGGGCTATATTTTCTTGCACACTTTTGGAGTCTTCGATGCTACCCTTTGTTTTACAGGCATCATTTTTCTAGCTCCAATGACGAAGAAAACTCGTAGACTGCGTCTGACCTATTCTCAGATTGCAGGTAGAGTGGGACTGGGATGGTACCGTGCAGACAGACAGGTACTGTTCTGACAGATGGGGATTTATGTACTGAAATGTTCATTTGTATCGAACGTTAAACAGACTCTAGTCGACAACAAATAAAGGTCAATTTCTGTAACTTATTGTGAACGAAGATGTCTGTGTTTCATATGTTCTCCACTTTCCCTGCTCTGTGCCCCTTTCTTCTGCACCTGCGGCTGTTTGCTTCCTCCGAAGAGTGGAGGTCTGTGTGCTTCCTTCAAGCCCTCACGCGGTCCTAGAGCAGGGGTCCTCACACTTTTTAAACAGGGGGCCAGTTCACTGTCCCTCAGACCCGTTGGAGGTCTGGACTACAGTTAAAAAACAAACAAACTATGAACAAATTCCTATGCACACTGCACATATCTTATTTTGAAGTAAAAAAACAAAATAAGGCAAAAACACCCAGCGGACCAGATAAATGTCTTCAGCGGGCCACATGGGGCCCATGGGCCATAGTTTTAGACCCTTTTCACTGCATCAGCTTCTCTCAGCCTCCCTTCCCTTCCACTGGGCCACCTACAACCAGGCAACTGATTTCTGTGTAACACTCAGAGCCTGCCCTCAGGCACTCACAGGCAGCCTGCCTGCAGTGGGCTGCCCTGCAGAAGGGAGGCAGAGTAATCTAAGTGCTCTGGGTGTTGTCAACTCAGGAGGGAAAGGTCAAGCCTAGCCTTGGGACTGGGAGCAACTATCAAAGCCAGGCATCCCACAGCAGGCTGCTTGGGCCTGAATGTTCCAAGGACTTGGAAAGCTGGAAAAAGTGGGAGGCTTCTCCTGTGGTCCCCAGGAGGTCAAGGCTGGAGGCTTTCAATGCTTGGAGGCTTGCAGGGACCCCAGGGTAGGATGTACCAGAAAACTTGTGGTGCTCTGGTGGTGAGGCTGTGGGGCAAATTGGTCTTGGCTCCCCTCTGCGTCTGCCCTGCGGTGTAGAGGCCCTCTGTCCATCTGCAGAGCTGTGGTGGCGCTGGCTGTTGCTCCTGGGACACGTGACCCATAGCTAATCTGTCTGTGCACATAGCCTGGCCTGTGCCATCCTCAGAGGGGGACTAAGGGGACGGCTGTCCCCTAGATTTTAAGTTAACCTCCTGGCAAATGAGGGTAGGGAAGTGTCTGATTGTTTTAAGAACAGTTTCTTTTAAAGAACTCATTTGTGATAAAAAATAAAACCTTACTATACTTACAGCATTACCAATGATTTAATAATTTGCTTGGGATTTTTCTGTATTTCCTAAGAGTGAATATCTAGGTTTTTCAATGATAACTGCAAGGAAACAAACTGACTTTTAAAAGAGACCTTTAAAGTCACTGAAATCACAGACCATGTACTTTCGGATGCATCTTGGTGGTGAAGGCAGCCCTTGGGGCTATTTGAGTACCAAGGGGCACTAGAACCTTGGAGTGGCTTGTAATCATAGTGGGGGTGGGTGGGGTGTGTGGCCAGGGTGTGTGTGCTTTGATACTACAGCCAAATGATCTCTGCCTGAGTCAATGTCTGCCCTACCAGACTTAGATGATTCTTAATACCGAGAGGCAGATCTCACTTTTAGCCCTAGCCACAGACCTTGGACCAGTTGCACTCTGGGGGCCTCCGTTTTTGCCTTTGCATTCATTTGCTTTACAGACAGGATTTGGAGTTCTTGAGTATGTAAGTAATTTACTACTTCCCATCTGCTTTTCAGTTTCTAAAATTATTTTGTTTTTGCCTCTTCTGATTTTACATATACATATATAGCCTTTTACAGTGTTTACCCTGGTAACTCGGTAGTTAAGTGCTCAGCTGTCAACTGAAACGTTAAAAGTTAGAGACCACTAGCCGATCCACAGGGAGAAGATGGGAACAGTCTGCTCTGCTGGGCAGAGTTGGCGTGATTTGGAATGGACTCCATGACAATGGGTTTGATAGGGTTTTAGGAGAAGCAAATGGAAGTTTATCCATCACTTTCCTTTCTTAACCCAGAAGTAAAGTATGCCTTTTGATATTTGCTATCATTTCTTGGATCTTGGAGGAGATGAAAATGCAGGCCTCCCTGTCCAGTCTCCTGTGTGCCAGTCAGGGTCCAACCAGAAAAGCAGAACCGATAGGACCAGTACACTGTAAACATCTTGACAAGGAATTCGCTTACATGGTTACAGGTGCTGGCTAAAGACGTCTGAAATCCAGTGGGCTGCAGGTCAAACTAGAGATCACAGGAAGGGTGGAACCTGCTAGTTCAGGCTGAAGCGATTGTCCACAGGCGGGCCAGTGAAGCAGGCCACCAGAGAGATGGCACACCCAGGGACCACCAGCTGGGAACGCTATTAAAAGGAGAACTGCTTCTCTTTCTGGAAGCTTTAGCCTTGAGAGCGGAATCATTTCTGCTTTTAGAGATTGAGTCCGGCCCACCCAGGTTATCTAGGAGACTCACTAGTTCAGTAATTGTCTACCACTTGTCATTGGTCATACCGTGGTGGCTTGTGTGTTGCTGTGCTGCTGTGAGGTACACCACCAGTATTTCAAATGCCAGCAGGGTCACCCAGAGTGAACGTGTTTCAGCAGAGCTTCCAGATTAAGAACGATGGTGAAGCATTAGGCGGTCCCCTGCTGCGGAATTAGCCGCTGAAAACTCTATATACAGAATAGAAATATTATCAGATACTGGAAACTTCTTGAAAAGAAAAAAAGCAGAACATTGTTGGAGATAGTGCCAGAAGATGAGCCACTCAGATTGGAAGGCACTTGAAATACGACTGAGGAAGAGCTGCCGCCTCAAAGTAGAGTTGGCCACAATAACATGGATGGAGTAACCTCTGGAAGTAAAGCCTTCGGGACTTCGTTTGCTGCTATGGCATGACCAAATTAGAAGAAACCTTGGCAATCATCAATTCCTAATTGGAATTTAAAATGTATGAATCTAGGAAAATTGGAAGTTTCTAATATGTAAGCTCAGGTTGAAACTGAAGAAAATGAGAACAAGTCCATGATAGCTAAAATACGACCTTGAGTCTGCCCCACCTGGATTTGAGGAACATCTCAAGAACAGAATTGAACACTGATGACAAAGCATCTGATGAGCCATGGGAGAACATCGAGAGCAGCATACATGAAGAAAGCAAGATGTCATTAAACAGAAAACATCTTGGTGGCTGTCAGAGGAGGCTCAGAAACTTCCTCTTAATCGTAAGGCACTTAGAAGACGATGAACTGAAAAAGCTAAACAATTCAAAGGGCAACTCAAGAAGACAAAGTAAAATATGATGAAATGTACCAAGACCTAGACTTAGAGAAAAGGAAGACCATGCTCAGCATAGCTTAAACTGAAATATATATATAACTCGTGTTGCAATATTGAAAGATTATATGGGTAAAATATTGAATAATGCTGGAAGTATGAAAAGAATATAGAAGGAATTCGCAGAGTCACTACACTATAAAGAACTAGTTGATATTCCACCCTTTCTGGAGGTAGCATACAAACAACAGTCAAAGGTACTGAAGCAAGTTCAGGCTGCACTGAAAGCATTAACCAAAAATAAGGCTCTAGAATTCCTGGAATACAACTTGAAGTGTTTCAACAAGTGGGTGAAGCACTGATAGCACTCACTCATCTCTGCCAGGAAATATGGAATACAGCTACTTGGCCAACTGACTGGAAGAGATCCATATTTGTACCCATTCCAAAGAAAGGTGACCCAACAGAATGCCCAAATTACACAATAATATCATTAATGTCACATGCAAGTACAGTTTAAAAAATAGTAATTTTATTGGGGGCTTGTACAACTCTTATTAGAATCCATACATCTATCTGTGTGTCAAGCACATTTGTACATTTGTTGCCATCATCATCATCAAAATATTTACTTTCTACTTAAGCCCTTGGTATCAGCTCATTTCTTCCCCTCCCTCCCCGACCTTCTCTC